CGCGTCTGCGCGCGCGACCTCTCGACCCCGGCCCGCTCGCGAATCCCCCCGCGCTCAAGACGCGCGCTTCTACTGTCACACTGACAGCCCGCCAAAACAATATGTTTCCTTTTCAAAGTTTCTATGATTTTGTACAACATTATTTGAGCATTAACCGTTATCAATTCATTCGTATTCGTACATAGTTTTAAAAGTAAATCAGATATGGTAGTGTATCGTAGGTGCTTGTAATATTAATCATTTGTTTCAGCTCATAAGGCAAAAACAAGATATTTATAACCTGTTACACATTATATTACACGTCTTTTTTAACTGATTGTTTTTAATAATGTTGACCAAAATCGATGAGATTTTCTCGGAATTCATATATCACGGTGCGTCACAGAGCTCATTATATTTAACGTTGTGCAAAAGACGATGGCAATTACCGATACTTGGGTACGATTCACCTCGGCACGCACACGTGTACCTCAGTACTCGTCGAAAGGTGGGCGGTGCTCAGTGAAATTAAGTCTAAGATAACGTCTGCATCGATGTCGCCTTTTTTATCTTTTTACGTGAAGCCTTGGAGGGAACGAATACGAACGGCTAGGAAATACCACGGCAAGGTTATGTTTACACCGGCTAGTAACAAGAAACTTTTGCATTGAAATTTAGCGCGAAACCTAATTTTGACAAAATTTATACATCATTTAAGACAATATTTTTGACGCCAGCTAGTAAAAAATATAATATCTGGTGAACCAAACGGTGTAACGACATTTAAAATTGAAGCCGGTTGCATATTTAATGATCTGTGAATACAAATATAAATTTAAAACGACCTAAAACATACAAAATAGGTAACGTGTTTTGGTCACTTCGATATATAACCACCTAAAATCTTATTTTAGGTGGTCTTTGCCACCTTATCTTCTTCTTCTTCTTCTTGGGGTGCCTCTCCGACTAACGAAGGCTGGCGATCAGTTCTCCATATTTTATACCACCTTATATTAAAAAGAAAAAACTATCCACTCTGGGTCAGCGAGTTTGAGCCTAATCAATTACAATAAGTTTCGAGCCCCTCAATACGGACGTGTATGAGCTGACGTCGAACTATAAAAATAGGACTTACTCTTCAATCTGGCGATGATCCTCTTCATGTTGAATCTGCCTAGACAAGTGTATCCTGGCGCGTGCCCGCTGTACAAATGTTCGCTCAGCAGGCGTCACGGTCGGCTGCACTTGCACCAGTGGCCGAGGAAGGGCGATGCCGCCATGCGAATTATAAAACACAAATGATTCATCAAAGCTTTAAAATTTGGCTTTACCTCACCATAATTGGTATGGGTCGGATATAAGGCATCTCAAATTAACATCAACATTTATCATAAGCGAATCTACCTACATTAGAAATATTGAAATTACCTAGCGAAGATATTGTCTATGGTATGTTTAAATGACAAAATTTTGGTAAAGCGCTATTCTATATTCCTGTCAGGCTGTATGCTGTAAAATCAAAAGCAGTGTTTTATAAAATAATTCATAACATACCGTATTGTTCTGCTGCAATTTTCTCGCTCTGAATGCTTGTCAAGTCTAATGTAGATTTAAACACTAAATTGCAGGAAAATTGTTTGTCGTCCATACATCATGTTGTTCGGCTTCGACGCGCCCACGTCGCTTTGAGCTGTGACAAATATGGAAAGGTTCATCCGACTGCTTGGAATTAAATCCACATTCGATAAGTAAGATACTATAAAAAAATTAAAACGGTAGCATATCTGTTTTTTTCGTTCTTACCGAAACTTTTTGCAATTTATCTCTTAATATTAAACTTTTCACAAAATTACGATAACCTATTGTGTAGAAGTTTGCTTACAATCTTTTAATGTGTTCATTTTTTTTTCTTTTTGAAAATTGCTGATAGGGTTCACTCTGTCTGTCAGTAGATAATAACCTAGGTAAGGTATGTACAAAGCAGGTTGTGCTTTAAGGTCCTCTACCTCACAACTCATGTTAAAACGTAGAACAACTGTAGCATATCGCACAGCGTCACGCTCTACGAAGCCTGCCGGTTCTATTTTAAGAGTGCATTGCATAAAGCACATAATTAGTTATTACGGTGAGTTTGCACGGTCGAAACATTCAAATGAAATCATCGTCTGATCACTATTTCTTCTAAACTGTAATGTTTAGTCACTCAAATCCTTTTATAATATTCCCTTGATTTTGTTAAATCAAACTAGCTGTCGCCCGCTAACCTGTCAGCGCGGAATAAAAAACGAATTAACAAACATCCATGCATCCAAAATTTCACATTTATAATATTAGTGACATTATTAACAACAATATACAAACTTATCAGAGCTAATTCCAAATATTTAAAACATAATTATGACAGTTTGACAGGAGTAAAATATCGTAATTTAAGTGACGAGATTACTAAAATTTCTTGAATTAATAAATACTTTGTTTTACACATAAACGTAGTACAAAATGTCGGTTAACGAAATGTCCGAAGCACAAGATCAGTCTCAAATAACGCCAACGTCGGATCAAAAGCTCACTATGAGCGAATCCAGTCAGACTACATTGTATAAAATGAGCAAAGGGACAATATCTTTAATGGAAAAGAGGCAAATGTATCGGGTGATCGATGATGGAATGGACGTGACCCCAGACAACATCGTGGACCCCGAGTACGTACTGATGGAGGAGACACACACGCACGCCGCATTCGGAGGAAGAACCGACAAAGTCATCAAAAGTGACATCGGTCTTAAAGTGAGCAAATCGAAGTCAAAGACTACAGTAGAGGTCGCAATGAAAGTTTACACGACGACCATCTCCCTTGACGACATCTATATCGATCACACAAAAGACACCGGCGAGAGCTTCAGCAAGGACGAGATAGATCTCGAAATAGCACCATCGGCGTTTTATATGCCGGTAAAAAAACCAATCATGGAGTACCCAGAAGAAATTTTTGTCGTCCTCAAAGAGACGGATACGGAATTCCTTTTTGAATTACCTAGCTTTTCGTACGAAAGAGGGACGGTAGAGGCGAATATTGTGGAAGAACAGAATAATTACTATCAATATATAACCGTCGGAAAGGGAAGGAATCGCAAAATGGTGACAGAGGAGACGCAAACTAAGGAATGCGTGTCACAATCTCGACACACAATCGCGACGAGGCCGAAGAAGAAAAATGCGATATCATTCGCTTCTCTGTGGGACATGCACGACACGTACGCTCAATTAGCAAAAGAGGCAAAGGACGAGGAACCGGACGAAATGGTAATGTATCAATCCGTGGAGCCTAAACTGCTGCGGAAGAAGAAAAAGGTTGCAGGCGAAGCTACCGAGCTCAGGGGTAAAAGTTACAAGGATATTTGCAACACTCAAGCGTTTTTGGATGCCGTCCTGTTGACGGAGCGAGTTCTCGCAACGATGCAGTTTGCCAATGCCCAGAAAAAATTCAGAGGACTCGTACAGTTCAATCCACTAGCTCTCGATCTCCAGTACGTTTATACATTGAAACCTCTTTGGACATTAGAATGTAACGAAACGTCCGGGCGACCGATCACCGGCATATCCTTCAATCCGAGAAACTCTAATATCGCTGCCGTGGCGCATGGTAAATTTACATTTGCAGAAACTTTCGATGGCCTAATCAGCATTTGGTGCACAAAAAACCCGTGCGTGCCCGAAAGATTGTACCGCTTCGAGCATCCCGTCACCGCGGTAGCCTTCTCAGAGAAGAACCCCAATTGGCTGGCATGCGGCTTTCACAACGGCGACGTCCTCATCCTGGACATCACGTCTTACTCCATCAAGACCGTGGCCAAAAGCAAACGCGACACCAATCCCTGTTTCGAGCCGATATGGCACATCAATTGGCATTTTATAGACTCTATTCAATTCGTGATAACGACCTGCCAGGACGGCAGGATAAATCGATTCAGAAGTACGAAAACGCACGATTTTATTTGCTCGCCGATTATGCGCATGGCGACAGTGGAGGGTCAGCTGAAGGGTCTTGAGACCGCCAAGGCGTGCGTCAACGTGGACGTGCCGATAATCCGTCACCCGGCGGTGCTCTGTATGAAATGGCACAGCGAAATAGATCACATATATTTCGTGGGTACCGATGAGGGTTGCATTTATAAATGCTCGACTCACTACTCGAATCAGCACATAGAAGTGATCCGAGCGCACGCGGGGCCAGTGTTCAACATGACGTTCTCGCCCTTCCTGGAGCGGCTGCTGGTGACGTGCGGCGCGGACAACGCGATCCGGCTGTGGCTGGAGGAGCTGGACGACGTCATAATGACGCTGAACTGCCCCGCCGCCGTCTACGACGTCGCCTTCTGCCCCGTCAACTCAACCGTGCTCATCTCTGTGAGTGGCAACGTTCTCTCAATATGGGATCTTCGTCGGAAAAATCACATTCCTTGTGCCGAGTACAAATTCCCGGGTAACGTTGTATTGAACTTTGTGAAGTTCTCAAAGTCCGGTGACAATGTTTTCGTGGGCGACACGTTAGGGCGCGTGCACACGTTCCACTTGGAGGACACGCCCATACCGCCATTCTATCAGCACAAAATATTAGATGAGGCGATAAAAAAGGCCCTCTGTACGAGACCTCAGTTATTGAAGCAGTTGCAAAAAATTGAGAAATATAAAGAACGTCACTATAAGTAATACTTGTTTTATTTTTTATTCATTGTTAAGCCGTTTTAAATGATATTATAAATAGGTATTTGGTAGTCGGAAGTTTAAGTCAGAAGTTTAGTCAGACTAATGATAAAAACAAGTATGTCCACGTTCACTGAGGCAATTTTAACGCTTTTTATTGTTAGGTAGGTTTTATTTAAAAAATAAATGTTTCTTTTTCTTTCTTGGTACTGTTTGTGTACTAAAATAATTTAATTCTATTGAAATATGAAACACAAGATACAAGTTTATCAATTTTATTTACTCTTAATCTTAAGAATAATATTTTAAATAACAAAATCATAAATTACATTTAAGTCTTGTAATGAAACAGTTTAAATAAGCTTATATCAAATAAGGAATGACTAGGGCTTGTGTGAGAGCATTTGCAGTTGATATTCTTTCTTCAGTTCTTTTAAATTAGCTTCCAAAATGGCTACCTGGAAAAATATTATAATTTTAATTAAATACTAGTCACCAGCAACACCGTCCAAGAGGAATAAAAACAAAGTAATTATTCTACATGTTCTCTCAGGATATGTACTACATCTATGCCAAATTTCATCAAGATCCGTTGCGCTGTTCCGGAGATACTTTTTAACAAACATTTATCCATCCATCCATCCATCAAACTTTCGCATTTATAATATTAGTGACAGTAAGATAGAGAGTCATAATGTCTTTTGGCAAACGGCAATTCAGTCACAATATGTTTACCTCTTCAAATCTGAGTTCTTTCCTTGCATCTTTTATATATCCTCTGATGATATTCATTTGCTCTATGAGAGGATTATTTTCATCGATATCAGCGTGCTCCAGCCGACTGCCGCTCGCCGAGACTTCTTCTCTCCAATCTCTTTCTCTTTCCCTCCGTTCTCTTTCCAACTGTATCTGCTTCTGCGCACGCTCGTACCGCTCTATGCGCACTTCCTCAATCTGAGCCTCAGTTGGTAACTTGCGCAATGATAGTAGATCCTCCTGGAAAGTGATTTAAATATGACAAAAATATCTTACAGCCACACTCCGATTTGTAAATTATAGCTAAGGAAGACACTGATCATGGGTTTCCAGTATGGGAAGACCAAAATCCTCGTTAAAACATATCTGTGTTTTGTCAAAATCAATGATAGGGAAGATGATATATTTTTACAGATATTTTGCTCTTAGTCATGGCAAGTGTATATTCAGTATGAAAAGTCTATATTTACTGAGAAACCATTCAGTGTTTTCTATTGGAAAACACCAATCATTCAACTGTAAACAACAACAAAATCTCATTTTACTAAGCAATTTTACCTTAATATAATGCGCAGCCGCCTGTCGTATAGAGTTCTGCAGTCGTGCCTGCCGTGTGCCGGGCTCTGCGGGGTGAGCGACTACCTGCTTACTCAGCAGGTCAATACCCTCTGCCAGTTTGCCTATTTTACCACGCATCGCGTTCACATCTGCCAAGTTGTATGTTGTTTCACCATCAAACAGACTTTGACACATCTAGAAATAAAAAAAAATATTGAACATCGGACATTCATTCATAGGGTACTTATTACATTTTTTTTCAATGCCGAACGGACAGAGTCGCTGGCAACAGCTAGTACTGTATACCAAGGAGTACCACTATTTACCTTTTCGTACATAGCTACAGCGGGCCTTGCTTGATCCATTAGACTTCTCATTTGCTCATATGCTGTCACAAGTGCTGTCTTTGCATTACGTCTCTCTTGGATCTGTTTACGCAACTCTATCAGGTTATAACAATGTTCGCAAAGTCTTAGCCCATTCTTCTCTGTAACTTCTTGATCAGGTTGTGTTGATGTTTGGGGTATGGATGGATCGACAATTGATTCTAGAAAAATATATACACAATAAAGTAACAGTGCGTGAATCAGTGTTCAAAACATATTTACGCAGAAATTTTTGTTTAAATTTAATGATTATTGACATATTGTGGTGATTCACATACATTCTTATTTGCAACTTACTGTTAGTTGTATATTACTTACTTCATGTCAATACTATAAGCTGATTAACCTATATCCAATAAAACCCTTTCCACTGTAACATTATGCATAATACTAAATAATAATACTATATTGCAAGTCATCTACAATGTACATAGATAATAAAAGCTAACATTACCTTATTTAATTTAATATTTCAAACCAAATTTTTATAATATTATAAATAAAATACTCAAATTTTTACTCTTAATAGACCCATTAAAAGAAATAAAGGTATTAAGGAAAAAAGAAGCACAAATACATACTTGCTACATTTAAATCAAGAAAGACAGAGCAATCATGACAGAGTAGAGATCCACAGAGGCGACAGTGATGCTTCCGTCTAGTCAGGTTAAAAGCTTTAGCACAATTAGGACACAGTTTCACCGAGGAACCATCCAGCCATGGCACAACCTGCAATTATTAAAATTTTTCATGTGTTTTAGTTTTCTCTATAACCAATAATACTACCTTTTTTATTCAATAATGGTAATGGAAAATGTAATAATATGTAATATTAATTCCAGGAATCAATATAATTTAAACAACCTTTTCTTTTCCTATAAAAATTATAATTCTTGAATTTGCAGATCCTGTTTATATTGCTTAATAGTGTTATATTGATTAGTTTTAAGTGCAGTGCCTACAGTTAAAATGTCTTTAATTGTATTTTTCTTATATGACGGTGGCTTACAAGATTGTTGCTGACTCTGCATAGAACTTAATTATAGGCTTAACATGGTGTAAAGAGATGCTAGAAGAGGGCACTATACAGCACTCTAAAGATTTAACGCCATAAAGATTAAAATGCTCTGGACTAATCTTACCTCTTGTTCAAAAGCCTTCCTTTGATTTGGTTCACTGGGCATATTACAGACGAGCTTGTCTAAGCGAATAAGCAGTTTATTAGTTTCAGTTGCATATCTTTCCAGTCGTGCTGACCTTACACCTCTAAAATAATCGGTAGAGCTGCGTGACACACCAATTGACTGTTCTTCATTAGGGTAATAATATTCTTGCGAATTAAATTTTAACGCCCGATCAAAAGTTTCTTTCAATTCTGTATCATCGTTGTTTAAAATTATTTTCTTCGCTTTACCGAATATATCCTTTAGAGATTTAAGAACGTCCTGTTCTTCCTGATGTAAACTCTCAAAGTGATTCGTAAGCTGAGTAGCAGATTTCAAGTCTGCTTTGCATATCGGGCACAAAAAACCTTCTAATATTTCGTCTTCATTTGCAGCAGCCATTATTCAATGATACTATCAATTCCACATATTGAAGAAACACTT